TGATTTTTGTATAGCGCATTTTCACAACATTACATTGTCTCAAAGCGCTTTACAGCATCCCTGCTGTTGGAGTCGAACTCCGCCGGGTCTGTTGATGAGAAGAGATTCACAGCACAGTCGAGGAGTAGTTGCAGGTCACCAGTTTATTCTCTATTCAGGTTGCAATCAGGGAGCGACCATCTGACATACATTCAGCATGTACAGTAAGAAGCTCGAACCCTCGGTGTCAGTTCTGTCCCTTTTATTGGCCTTCTAGGGTGCTGCCCCCCCCCCCCCCCCTTCTCGGTACTTTCCACCTATGTGACCACAACATATTTTGACTTTTGTTCCGATTAGTCAGTGTGTGCATGTTTCCCCCCTTTTTGTTAAGCATAAGTGAAAATAAGTGTCCGTTGTATGATGGGTTCCTCTTTTCCTGCTATCTCGTGCAAGGTCGTCCTGACCTGCTGGTGTGCTGTCAGTTCCTGATTTTTCCAAAATGCATGGGGTGAGATCACCCCATCCTGCCGGCCTAACATCGGTTCCCATGTCTACTGTCTACATTATGTTAGATACTCCTCTATTAGCTACGTTCTTAGTAGATATTATATGATTAACCCCTATTAGCTACATTGTTATAGAATTAGTAAGTGATTATATGCTTAACCCCTCAATTTCTGTCTTCCTGGTGTCTGGTACGAGGTCATCCTGACCTGCTCTCTTGCTATCAGTTCCTGATTTCTCCCAACCTCATGGAGTGAGATCACCCCATCCTGCAGGCCTAGTATCAGTTCCCATTTCTAGTGTCTGCATTATATTAGACACTGAGTTATTAGAAATTAGTAAATTAGTATTTGGATTATTGTAAAATTACCCCTCATTATTGTATAATTAACCCCTCACTGCCCAAAGCTCCCAGTGAATATGCCAGAGGCGACAGTGGAAAAACTCCCTAGGAGGAAGAAACCTTGGGAGGGACCAGACTCAAAGGGGGAGCCCGTTCCCCTGGGGCTGGCAAGGAATGCAAACCAGTGTAGGCATGATGTCTTCTGAAATGCTCCAATACCGCTGACTAGAATGTGCCCCAGGGGTCTGCAGCCTCATGGTTATTATCCATCTGAACCTAATGAAACCAGCTATCACCCCAGGCATCATCACTCAAACCATGATTGGACCAAAATAGTCACGTGACACACTCAGCTGGAAGACAATAGGTGTAATATTTAG